ATTCGCCACCAAAAAGTCGCCTTCCGCTTTTTGGCCACCAAACCTTTTTCCAAACCCAGAATGTGGCAAGCTCCAAAGTCCAAGACGCCAGGCCAACTCAAGCCCATCCAAGCCTTCCGGGATCCGCTGGTCATCCGCCGCTCCTTTTTTCGAGAAAAAAAGAAAGAACACGAAAACGAGGACCCGGAGATCTGCTTCGAGCGGCTGGTGAAGGCTGCAGCTCCAGGCACGCGAAAAGCCAAGGGAATGTCGGATTTTGTCGCGTTTTTTTGGAGTACCAAAATTTATCGAAATCGGGGGTATCCTAAACTTGGTGGGTTTAGTGGTTGGATTTCCATATAAACCCACTAGAAGTTGGTTGCTTTTAGCAGGGGATCTGAGGGCAGCCCAGTAAAATGAATGTTTGGTTTCCTTTGGTTGCCCCTTAAATACCTACCCGCCAAAAGGGGTCCACCATTTTCAGAACCCCCCACATGGGAACATCGTGTCCCCTGCAAATTAAGTGGAATGGGTTGGGGTGTTCCCCAAAAAAGGCGAAGGAGTCCTTGGGACTTTAGTCACTTTGTCGGTTTGGACAATCGGGGTAGCAAAACCGCCGGGAATACGAGCGCAGGTTGAATCGTCCTTGTTTCCATTTACCGATCGGGCAACCCATTTTGGGGTTACCCTGTTTTCAACGCACGTCCAGGTGTTTGTTTAAAGGTACCTTTTGGAGAGGACTTTAAGGGATACTAAGGGGGGGGAGGCGGGCCCGCGGTCCTCGCTTTCTTGGGCCCAACGTGGCAGTTTCTTGACTAGAAGCCACCTTGAAGTTACTGTAACTGTTGAAGGGGAAATTCGGCGATCCATGTCAAAAGCCAATTCCGCTAGGAACTAGATGAAAGTTGTCCCGTTTTTATAGCGGGCCTACCGATTGGGCAGGGGGGGTGATTTGAGCTTAGCATCGTGCACACTTTGGTCCACACAGAAAACAAAAAAGCTTGCAACATCCTGTGCGAAATTGGTTTATCTCAAAATAGGCGAACACCCTTTTAGGGTAGCATCCCTTCGATTTCCATTTGAAGCCATCCAAAGAAAGTACCCCAAAGCTTGGTTCCTCATGTGACATTTGGTACCGTGTCAGCTTCTAGAGGGGCTCTTTGGTTCCAGAGTGAGTCCTTGGAGATCTCAAGATGCTGGAATGGAACCCAAAAAGGTGGTCCCTCTATAAACTAGAAATTATACTAGGTTGGCGTCCGTGCTAATCCGATAGGTTTCGATTTTGAGTTTGTTGGGGATGACACGCAGACATAATATGGCATCGACTTGACATGTTTTCCCGGTTTGGTCCACATTTAAAATACGGGTTGCAAAACGCGAACCTTTTGTTCCGGGTCCTTTGCTTGCAAGTGAGGTTAAGCTGAATTTTCCTATTCATCTCATGCGGAGTTGCCGGCTGCCCCTATCCCCATATCCCAATACATGCTTTCCTGTACGGTGCAGGGATGGCCCCTGCCTAACTTATCAGCTGACTGTAGAGTTGCTGGCTATGCTTCTGGGCGTGTTTTTTCTTGCCATGCTCTCGCCCCTTGGATCGCTCCTTGTTTCTATTTGCACAGATGCGGTGTGCTGGACTGCTCCAACGAAAGCTTAACTACAGAGTTGGCAAACTGTGACAACTTGGGAGGTTCCAACTGGTTTTGCTATGTTATTTCTGACTAGTGAACTCATCTTGTTTATATATATATATATGTATGTTTTCTCTGACTGTATATGTGATTTCTGACTAGTGAACGCTGCTTTTTTTCTGACGAGTGAACTCAGCAGGTCAGCATGTCGGGTCAAGGGATTTCTGCCATTTTTGATCACTTGGTGGTTCCCAGCCGTCCGGTTCCTTTGGCTTGTAGTTGCTTTTTAGTTGGTTTAGTGTTTGGGTTTATTTGAGCAACAGTTATGCACTTTCAGCAGGGGATCAGTTTGGACGATCGGCATGGTCCAGCATGTTTCCAACGAGATGTGTTTTTTTTCCTTTTGAGACACAATCAATGAAGTAGCAGAGATTGACAGGCCTCACGTCTTAGCAAGAAATGGGGTATTGATGCTGTGCCAGTTTGTTTCGCGGTGTTGTTTTGTCAACTGGAGTTTGCTGCATGAGAGAGTGCCTTGGCCAAAATCAAGCGTGAAAATGGGTATAGGAGAGGGACGTCAGTACTGAATGAAACACCCCTGCGCTGATTCTCTGCATTGGCACCAAAGAATCTGTGCTCCAATGCGCTTGCTTGACCATATTTTATTGTTTGCTTGGGGAGGCCTTCTGCCCAGTTTCCCCTGTAATTTTGTCCGGGGCTCAGGTAATCTTGGTTTCCTAAACTCTTGCTTGCCGAGCTAAGTTGTTTGGGGATGTTGCTCCTTCACAGTTGAAGCGGAGTTCGTTCAACATGTGAACGAGCTGCGGTCAGCGGCCAAGAAGGAGAAGCGTGCTTGGAACCCGCTCGTTGGGTCCCATGCGGGCTACGTGGCCGCGTTGAACAAGGCGACGGCGTCGCCCAGATGGGCGCCACCCTCCACTGGTCCACAAGGGCGCATTTGGCGTCGCATTCCGCGTGGAGCAGAAGACAGAGTCCTGGTGGTGTTTCTGCTGGTGGCAGCGATGCACACCTCACATGACCCATCTTATCGGCTACCATTCCCCCAACAAGACACACGTGGTGTTTTAGTGACTTGCTACAAACTCTTTCCGGCAAGCTGTGAAACTGCGAAGTCGGCTTTGTTTGCTTGTAGAATTTCTGGGGGATGTGTTTTGTGTGTTGGATTGTTTGATTGTGTGCTTGTTTGTTTGTTTGTTTGTTTGTTTGTTTGTTTGTTTGTTTGTTTGTTTGTTTGTTGGTTGGTTGGTTGGTTGGTTGGTTGGTTGGTTGGTTGGTTGGTTGGTTGGTTGGTTGGTTTGCCTGTTTGCTTGCTTGCTTGCTTGCTTGCTTGCTTGCTTGCTTGCTTGCTTGCTTGCTTGCTTGCTTGCTTGCTTGCTTGCTTGCTTGCTTGCTTGCTTCTTTTGTTTTGTGTCTTTGTTTGATTCGCAAGCGAGCAACTGAAGCAACCACCCGTCAACCACACAGAAAACAACAAAGGGAAAGACACCTTCGCCATAGACAACAAGGCAACGCTACACAGCAATCACCAATCCATCTCCATTCATTCATCCATCCACCAGTCAGTCAGTCAATTAAACGAAATGTGTTTTCCTTTGGGAATTGATGTTCAAAGGGCAAGTATAAGTAGAAGGTTTCCAGTAAGCGATTTCCGGTCCACTGGCAAGTTACCGTGTATGCATGCTTTGGCAGAATAGATATTGGTATATACGTATCTAACGCATATCTATGTATATATATATACACATACACATAGTAAACATACAATATGTCTTGCAAATTACATCGCGAACTCAGTCGTTGGTTTGCGGCCTCCGGCCCTATGACGAAGGTTCCTTTCATAGCTTTCCCTTTTTTGGCTGGTTCACGTTTTGTTGTGATTTGGGCGTATACTTGCTTCAACATGTCACTCACGCTAGTGCTACATATTGCATGTGTTTAGGACATGAAAAGCAATCCAGCTGAAAGTCATGAGGCTGTTGCATACTTTAGTATATGTATACGGGTCTGTGCTTTTCCGGTTGGTATACTGCAATGGGAAGCAACGAGGAACGCCATTTTGTGGGATCCAGAACCTCAATTTGACACATGGCCATTCCCCTTGAATTCAGTCGCCACCAGTAAAACAATGGTTGGTTTGAAATAACCACCATTGTTTCAAACCACCATTAAAACAGTGGTTGGGTTTATATTTCACCACTATTGTGTGCCTAAGGATTGTCATCATCCAAAGTGTGTTAATTTGGGCCTTTCTTTCAATGGGAATCGGCAAGGAACCCTAGGGCACAAGCTGCTGCGTGTAACTACCTTGGGGTTTGGCAGCTCCAGTGACGAAGTCTGCTTGCCCGGCAGGCAGCGCATTGCACCTCTGGTTTGGTGCGGCCTGCGCGCTTGAGGGTTCCGTGAAGGATTTACCCTAGGGTTGAGAACGCCCCCAAGAAGAGAAAGGCCCAAGCAAACCCCAATTTGGATGACAATCCTGAACGGTGAACAGTAGTGGTGAACTTATGAGCCCCCATTGTTTTAATGGCAACTGAATCCCAGGGTATACATTTACGCCAGAGAGAAGGCATCTGAACCCCAGCCGATTTAGAAGAGCCCTGTGCAAAACCGGTTTTTGGATGCCTGTGCTGCAACCCTGCCGTATTTTTGGTGCCCTTCTGGCCGTATTTAGGGTCCTTTCTGCAATGTTGCGCAGCAAGCGCCGTGCTTTTCTTTGTGCCTGGGGTACAAGCAGCGCAGCCCATGAAGGCTTGCCAAACCAAGTTGCCCCAAGGCTTCTTAAGGTCTCATATTGGGGGGGGGGGAGCCAAGGGTGGTTCCCTTAAATACCTAGCGGGGGTCCATGACTATCCATTTGTTTCCGCAGTTGAAAAGGTGTCTTACCACACATGCGGAGACGACACTGTTTCATGACACAAGCGGAGACAACCGACACTCTTGCAGGTGTTTTTCCCTCAGCTTTATTTGAGGTATTTTGGCTTCCGTTTTCGGGATGTGGACAAACTCCGCTGGCCATGGGGAAACCAAGGTTTCTTCCCGGCGCGCTTCCGGGAAAATTGGTTCCGCCGCTTGTTTTTTGTGGGAAGACCTACCCCGTTTTGCATTGGACCATGTTTCTTCCCCCGATTGTTGTTGAAATTGAGTGTGAGTCTCCCATGTTCTGAGTGCCGATTTCCATTGTTCCGAGCCCCCACCATGAATCCCATGCGGCAGTGCCATCATGAAGAACCAGACTTGGTGAAGGTTGATAAGGCCGTTTGTTTCAGTCAAGGAAGACCGTGTCCTGTTTGATTCGCGTTCCCATGAGGACAATCGCCATGGATTCACATGCAATGTCCTGCCGCAGCTTTAGCAACCAAGACACAAACTGCCATGGAGCCACGGGCCGAATCGTTGACAAGTTCACCACTGGCGACAAAAAAACACATGGACCACAATCCACTTGCACTGGTTGATACGATTAGCCGCTGTTCCTCCCAAGCTTCCCTTTCAGAATTGCCACTGCATGCAGCAGATGTTATTTTTCAGCCGGTTTTGGCACACACAGTTAGCAGCCACGAGATGTCGGACTCCAGCGACAGCGAGATCTACGAGAGCAAGCCCGATCTGCCCAGGTGGCGCCGAATTCTGGGCCCCAACCTCAAGTTGGAGCGCCTCGATTCTGATCGACTCCATCGCCCGGGAGGGTTTGGTTTTATGGTTTGTCGGGGACTCGGATCGTTTGGTTTTTGTTTGTTCGGTGGCTCGGATCCTAATATGCGTTTCATGGGATCAATGTTGTTTTTCCAACAGCTGAGATCGGATCCATTTGCGTTTCAGAATATGTATCATGTTCCCCTGTTGGCTAAGGAAAGCTACGAGTCACGAGTGGAATATTTGTGGTGGAATACTTTTCATGTGTTCCCCAGCCGAAAGCGATGGGGTCTAAGCGCAGATAGGCTCTGGGGTGGTCTCTGCGGTAAGAATCTGCGAGGGTTCTGCGAGGGTTCCGCAAGGGTTGCAGGGATGCACGTGGTGGTTCCGAGGGTTCCGGGGATCACGGGACGGTTCCGGGGAGGGTTCCGCGAGGGTTCCAGTATAGCACTGACCCTTTGTTTCATTTTGCTTGGCTGTTAGAACTTTAACTTTTTGCCAACTAATGGGTTTTCCATTAAACCACTAAAAGTTAACTTTTAGCAGGGGAGCAGATTTCGCAATCGAGGACCATTGCAAGGGGTGTGCTGTGTTTTCCGCATCTGCAGATCTCACACGGGCGTGTCGTCGCTGTTGGGGGTATCACCTCAGCTTATCCAGAGGGTCTGAAGCAAGGGTTGGTTGGGATGGTGGGCTATGCTGGGGATCCCAAATGTTAGATTGCAGGGTATAGACTTGGAACAGGGTCAGAACATTTTTGTTACTTCCTGTGCACCCCAGGTGTGGACCACGCAACGGAACCTAAACAACCATGAAAAGTAAACCCGGATGCCATTGGTCATTTGGAGGCTGCCTTACATATAAACCACAGGTCCCCCCGAAGCAAAACTTGAGGCTCAATCCCTTCTGCCCTAGCCATCGACGAAATCTGTCCTTTTGGTTTTTCCCCATTTCAAAGGGGGACAGGTCCCTCAACGGTTCCGCACCTTTCCCTAGCCACTTCCCCAAGGATACAAGTTCCTCAGTGTCCGCACCATCGCTTTCCCAGATTTGAGTTGACACCCCCATCAAACACATGGGGTTTGCTGTTGGTTTGCCTTTACAACCATCCCAAAAACAAACACAGCAACGGCCTCCGAGTGGTGAAACCTGAGCAACGGTCAATGTTCACCGCCAACTACTGCAAAGCAAATGACAGGGGGTACACGCAAATCCCAATTACCACGAGGACATCGGGGTGAAACCTCACCAAATTCCAGTGTTTGAGAACACACAGGTTTTGACCCAGATGATCAACACCCAGGTCTTCTTGGATCAATCCCTACTTGTTGTGCATCAACCCCCATTTGTGTTTTTATCCCCTCTCCGTTTTGGTTTGGACCAACACACATTTCGTTGGATCATCTCTTTATTTTGGATACACCTAAACTACCACCCCGCCTAAACACCTCTATAGAAAAACCCTAGACACCCCCCTACAACCCCTCTGTCCTCTTTTTGCATCACCCCCCCCCATCTATTGATCACCTGTTTTTTGGGATCACCCCCATTCGTTTGAGTTTTGGAGTTTTTTGGATTCCCCCAATTATCATGATTTGTTCTCCCCGATTATTTGGAGTTTTTCTTTTGGAATCCATTTTTTGGAAGAATTTATCACCCCTGTTTTTTGTCACCCCCTTTCTTATCACCCTCTTTTTATCACCCCCGATTTCTTTTCGGATGAATCCCCCGTCGTTCGCTCGGGCCAAGGATTTTGTGCGGCCTGACGGTGGCCTTGGCCCTGGTCCCCGAGGCCATCGCCTTCGCGCTGGCGGCGGGGCTGCCGCCGGACGTGGGGCTCAACTCCGCGTGGCGCGGGCACCGGTCGTTGGGGCGGCGTCGTTGCCGAGGGGTTTGGGAGGTTTGGGAGGCGGCGTTTGTTTGTTTTTTTGGAGGGGGGAGGGGCGGTTTGGTGGTTTTCAAGGCAAACACAGGCTGTTTTTGGATGGGGCCAGCACACCAAGAAGAACCACAATTGTTTTTTTTGTGGAGACCCCCCCATTAAATGCCTTCGGTGTTCCTTTCGGTTTCAGGAAACCATGAAAAAGGGGATCCCCTCAAAACAGGGCGAGCCACCCGTACTGCGTAAAATTGGGGGGTTGTTGGGCTTGGGGGAATTGCGATAGTTTGTGCAGTTTTGCTACGGCGTGTTTGTGAGTTGGGGCATGTGGAAATGACTATGGACGGGGCGAATGTGGCCTTGCTAGTCCCTAGCATGGAATCGCAAGGTTTTTGGGAACGAAGCTGGGTCTCCCCTTCAGGAAAACCACTCTGGACGACGGTTCATAGGGGCTCGTTTCCTAAGAACCAGCGAGTTGTATAGCCAGGATCATCGCGGTGGTGACCGCCATCTTTGGAGGCGTGACACAAAAATTGGCTGTGAAGGGTTGACACGTGTTTTCTGGGGTCTCCGAAACAAAGCCAGTTGAGTTTTTAGGGCAGACTAAAAATATGGAACAGAATCCAGAAGATATTCCCACTCCCCGAGTTCCTGGACTTGATATTTTGTTCTTCGGTAAAACAATCTTCAGTGGTAAGCAAGTGGACGTTTTGTTTTGCCAATCCACTCAGGATGTGCGTATTTGTCCTGCAGTTCAGATGCGGACCAAGTTCTGGGCTCATGTGTAACCATGCTCATGGTACGTGGCCGAGCCCCTTTCCTTTCCTCCTCCAAAGGCCACTTTTGCCGTCCCTCTAAGGGCCTTTGTTTTTGTTTGACGTCGAACAACTTCAAGGGCTGTTCCCCACTTTAGCGAGTCCCACCTTGTGTCGCGGAGTTTTACTCTGACTTTCCTTACTCCGCCTGGCGGCCCCCCTGTGTTTAGTTCTGGTTTCCGGCGCAGCTGTTCTTTCAAGCTTCTTTTGGGCTTTTGAGGAAATAGCGCCAGGGTAGGACATGAATCTACATAATATTTTTCCTACCCAACGTGCAGCTATGAGTGTAAGAGCAGAGGCGCAGTTATCACCGAAGCAATAGGCAGTCAGGGTAACACTATTGTCAGAAACACCCTGGCTGTATCTGGCTATTTTGCTGGGACGAGCAACTGAGCAGGGGTCATCTATTTTCCCGCAGACAACGAGCAAACAATCAAATGGGAGGTTTCCAATCACCAGCCAGATGCAGTATGTGATTGTTTGCCGTGTTTTTTTTGTTTTTTTTGAAATAAATATATTAATATATATATATATAAATACGGGTATGGGTCAAAATCGGACCCTCAAAAGGGCTTCGGTTTTAAAATGTTCAACCTCAAACAGATGCAAACCTATATTCAGCTTACCCCTCAAATTGGTGGTTTGGATTTGGATTTGTGGATTGGGGATTTGAACGGGTCCCTGGTTCTTGAGGGTAAATAGGAACCACCCCGAAAGACCTCTCGGGGGTGCCAATCCAACCCGAGAGGGACGCTGATATCTGGGTGTGTCAACTTTTTTCCAGGTTGGACCCCTGAAAATGGACTTGTGGCTTTCTTGTTCCTTGAACCCACCCAGCCAAACAGGGCTCCTTAAAAGACATATCCATGTTGCAACCATTTGACACATGTGGCTTTTTCAACACCCAAGTAAAGTTGGACACCACCAGAAAACAAGTTGCAATGTTCGATCGGTGTATAATGCCTCCGGATCCCTGCCAAAATGTGTTTCCTTTTTCTCAGGAAACAAGACACACAGAGGCTTCCGGAAGGCCCCGATACATGGAGCCAAGTCTTCCAAACTGCTTGTGTTCGCCTGGAAAGTCCGCATGAGAATCCAATCCCCACTCAAACAAAGCTGAAACAATGGGGTGGTGAATTCACCCACCCCAAATTGTTTGGCTCAAACAAAGCTGAACAAATAGGGTGGACAATTCACCGACCCCCAATTTTTGTGGGATCAACTCCAAATCGGTTTAAGGACCACAGCCATGAGAAAGTTGCTTAGCAGGTCGTCCGGCCATGATCTGCGGCGCCACGGGGTCCCTGGCGGTGCTGGTGCCTGGCACTGTGGCCATGCCCCACGGAAACTCGCCTTGAGCCGATCGAGGAGTTCGTTCCAGCGGGTCCCCGGTCCCCCGTGCCGTTTTTGGATGGGGCCCCGAAAAGGGCGCCCAAAAAAATCCGGGGGCGGGGGGGTGGTCATATTCTTTTGACGGCTTCTGGTGATCAAAGTCAGAAACTCGGGTTGGTTCCCTTGAACTCACCACTTGGAGGTGACTTTTGATTCTGGTAAAATCACGAGGGCCACCGAAAACGGCCACCAAAAATGGGGCTTCCAAGTGCATCCTAGGTACTTGGACCCCCAGGGATACAAATTGGATCAAAGTGGCGTCCTTCGGAAAAAGGTTTGGTCAGACATGGACGGGCTTTTGAAAACAGGCTCTGTAACATTGGCTGAACACATAAGCTCAATTGGTGGTTTCCGTTTGGCGTCCCAAAGCAGACATTTCGGCAGGAAACAGTTTCTCATAAATCCGCCAAGTTCCGCTTATAGATCCTGGGGTCATTCAAAAAAGAGGGCAGTGGGGGGCTGTTTGGAAGCCAAAAGCCCCCTGCTTTGTGGGTATGGGTTCTCTCTAAAGTGGGTTGCGCGCCGCGTATATTCATGAATCATGGCTTCCCATTATCTTGGTCGGGGATAGCAATCGACCCCTCATAGGGAAGTAGGATCACCATGACCAGGGTGTGTCGATTTTGGAGGGCGCCCCTTTTTGGTGGCTAGGGAAACCAAGAGGAAAGCCACCATTTTGGGGGTTCTAGACAAACCCATACGGAGTGACAATAACACCAAGAGCTGAACTAGTCATAGCACCTTGACCAGCGTTCACCAATAGAACCACCACCACTATAGAGACATCACCATTTCGTTTGATAGAAGTACCAACATCACACGACAGTATTCGTGGTGTTGATTAGTTGGTTTGCAAAAGTCCCAGGTGTTGGTTGTTTCATTCTAGGTTGCCGTTTGTTGGTTGATAGAACCATGGAAGTTCCGCAATGGCGCACTGGCGCATAAAGCAATGAAGTGCTGAAGTTCTAACTAGGCCGTTGCATGGCAAGACGCAAGGGTGAGAGCTTTGGGGGTGATTGGAGGGCAAGCTTGATTTAATCAGTGCCCCCTGTGAAAGGCCAATCGGAGAGATGAGGAAAACTTATATATGGTGCCGTGGTCTTTGGTTGGGTTTGGTTGGTTGCCTGCTTGGTTGGTTGCATACCTGACTGCCCGGCTGGCTGTTTGGTTGGTTGGCTGGCTGGCAGGTGGCTGGCTGGTTAGTTGGCTGGCTGGTTGGTTGGTTCGTTGGTTGCTTGCAATGTGGGTTGGATTCGGATAGTAGAAACCCAGTATCTTGTGCTGAACTCTGTGCGTGATATCGGTGTTCAGGAAACCGGTTAAGGCCCTAAAAGGTTCCTACATCTGAGCCACTTGCTCAAAACCCGGGTAAAGGGGCCAGTCCCAGCCAGAAATTAGTGGAAATATCCGCCTTTTAGTTTTCTTACCTGGGTTTCATTAGACCATATGAATGCCTGGTTTTCATTGTGACTCACCTGCGGACATTTTTGTTTTCCTCCCGCAGGCTGCTCGCTGCTAGGCTTCCGGTTTCCTGTTGGATTGCCTCAAAGGCCCAAGCTTTGAGCGAAAGGAACCTGGCCCTGATCCCAGAAAGTGTCGGCGGGCGTGCGGTCAGTTTTGTACCACATGTTTGTTTGCAATCTGCGCCGCAACGTTGTTGTTTCAGGCACAGCTGTTCAGCCACCCCCAGCAGGCGCGTCACTTTTAATGTCGCACTCTTAGCGATATCCCCGCACTCTTAGCGATATCCCCCGCCTGCCACGCGGGCCCAAAATCGCAGTTCTGCATTTGGTCCACGAAGGCGTCTCTTTCGCACGTTCCGCGTCACTTTTGATGTCACACTCAGAAATCCGCCACGCCTGCCACGCGCATGTCGCACACATGTACGCATGCCTGGCACATGGTAAGCACACTCGCCCACGCGCATGTCGCTCAAATGCGCGCATGCCTGCCACGCGCGTGTCGCTCAAATGCGCTCATGCCTTGGTTGTTGGTTGCTTCTTGTTTCTTGTTGGTTGTCTCTTGTTGGTTGTTGGTTATGGGTTGTGGTTTTGGTTGGTGGGATATCTTGAAGTACCGTTGAGAACCGCGTTGATACCCCTTGCTAGTGTTGAAGCCGACTTTTCGTTTTGGCCCCTTCAAGAACCAAGCGTTCCGCTGGGGCGAAAGTGCGATGGAAGACCATTTCATGAACGGGCCATCATTTTCATACTCGTGAAAACAAAGGTTTGAAATCACCTGATTTCAGCCGACAACCCTTGTCGGGGCGGCTGGACAGCCCTTGTCTTGCTTCAATAGGTGTTCTCAGTGGGTCGCCGGGCACGGTTCATGATTGTGGCCTTGATGTTTTTAATTTGTCTATAGATGTGTAATGTGTTTCGGGGACCTTAAAAGCCAGCCAAAAGGGGTAGACACGTCCAACGGCCTAAATGAAAGAAAGGAGCGCCAAGGGTGAAGCGAACGGGGAGTCAAACCTTTGTAATTTTGGAGAGGTCCCTCAAGAATAGACGACCCAAATGGCCAAGTTTTTGTTGGGTGGGGATCCTCTCAGTCCGAAGCCCAAGGCAAGGAGCTGCTCTTTTACGCCGCCCCTCGGCCGGAAACTCCGTTCGCGCTGCTCCTCGAAGTGCGCGGGGTAATGTGAAAACGGATTTGGTCATCAGAAGTGATCCTGTGTAGTTTTTCGCCCCTTGAGACAAGCCTCCCCACGTTTACAAGAAGGCGCCTGACGGGGGGTCTTGCTCGGCACTGGTTTCTACGACCCGAAAACTTTGAGAAGATTCCTCGAGAAACGGGGCCTGGAGGGATGACAGGTTGCAGGCCCAGCCTAATGGCAACCCCGGATTTATAAACCCCTGGTTGATTAATAGGGGGGGGGTCCCCTTTTAGTGGGGATTCATCACTTTTGGAGGGAGCACCCCCCTAATAGTGGGACGGGTTTATTAATCCTGGGTCAACATTAAGCTTCCATTTGCTGAAATAGATGCGTTTCTTCGCTTGTTGGTGCTTAAGGAAATGGAAGAAAGTCAATTGACGAAATTGCAAAAACAACTTCTCGGGTCCTCTGCGAGAGATAAGCGTCGCAACCGTTGCGGTCGACCAACCACCCAAGGGCCAAGTGGGCGAGTTCGTAGCCAGGCTTTTTTTTTCTCGTGTCCATGAAAAGGCCATCCAAAAGCGCGAGTTTCTTATGTCAAGGGTACTCATCAGAAAAACCACCCCTTGTGGCTTCCTTTCAGGGAATCGCAAAAGGTTCATTCCCAACACCCGGACTCGGTCATTCCCTACCTATCGCACCAGCGAGTTTTGCCGTGAAGTTGTGGACAAACCGCTGAATTTCAGGTAGCCCTTGGTTGATGCTTGTCATTTGGGTTTCTCAAAAGTAGGACATGGGTTTGTCTCAAAACGGGTGTGGGCCCCCCGAAATGGCGCAACGGTGTTCCTCCTGTTTCCCTTCACTTTCAAACTACCTGAAAAGGGTACCGGCTCCAAAAGGACGAGCCCAGATGGGACTATGGAAGGTTCCATGAACGGGTTTTTGTTGGGATTTGAAGGCGGGAAGCCATGAGAGCTGCTTGACTCCGGATACATCATTCACGGGGATATAGTGGATGCCCTAAGTAGTACAAGCCAACCATTCCAAACCACAAGCCATGGCAAAATTACAGTACATTCGACGGGGTTTATCCGCTTCCCCTGCTTTGCAATTTACTGGGCATCCGCCGTATCTTGTTCCCCAGCGACTGGTTCGGCTTCCCATCCGATGGGGCTGGGACAGACAAACGCTTCGGGAGCGGTTTCGGGCTTCAACTCCGATTGTCCGGGCGCTGAATTTCGGCCAGTGCGTTTCGTGGCGCCCCCATTGTTCCCCGTTTTGTTTGAAATGTCTCTGGTCTCCCTCAAACATGACCATGAACCGAAGGCGTCCTGAGTCCCCCCTTGTGGGTGGTGTGTTTCCTCTAAATCAAACACCGTCGATACTGAGGTGTCTTAATGGGTCTGGGGTTGACAATATCTTACCTTTCACTCTTGTGGTCCATTGAGCTCAGCAAAAGCCATGAGAGTCATGGGATCCAATCCTTCATGGTTGTTGTTGCGAAACATTTTACATTTTTGTGGTTTAGTAGGAAACTCCCACTTAACTGCTAACATACAAAGTGTTGCTCCCCCAGCGTCAACCAAGCGACTTATTTCGGGTGTTGGAATCACTTTTGCTGGGTGGTTTTCAGAGCCATCCGAACCCCCAAAGTTTGTTTCATATTTTGTTGAGTTTCCACTAAGCCACAGAGTTTGACAGGGCTCCTTAAAGGATACTTTTTGCAACCATTTGAAACATGTGGCTTTTGCCACCAAAATAAAGGGCCGGGACACCACCATTTACAAGGCAATGTTCAGGTGTATAATGTAAGGATCCCTGTTTAAATCCTTTAGCTGAACCTCTTTCATTTTAAAGCCAGTGGCGAGACAATGGTCACAAGAGCTCGGAACAGTCAAGGAACTTTGGCTGAGCGAGAACATGTAGCCGTGGATCGAAATCACTCTTGGTGGTTCCCAGCCATGGATGCACAGGTCCCTCCCAGGTTTTGTTTTCTGAGACCGGTGGATGTTCTAGATTGTTCCTTTGGTTTCCTCCCCTGCTTTCCCCAGAAACCTGAGGAGCCCGTCCCAACCCAGGATCAACACATCCGATCAACATCCACTTCAGAAGCCCCCACTCAACATCCAATCCCGAATCAAAACCGACAAACGAGCCAAACCGATTTTGGGAAGTAAAGCAACAAGCCAATCACAAAGTTCTACTGGTGGCTTCCCCATTCTTTCCAGGCATCCTTCTTTCTAGAAAACCACCCAAAACCGTGGGGAAACGGCTGGTTTTTGAAAAGAACCCTGGTTGAAAAGAATGGGAAAGGAGTCAACCCCTGGAGTTCTGGGAGCCAAGGGCTGGCTGGGTCAGCTTTTGGAACATTTCTTGTTGTACAGTTTTTGCTTGAGTTGTACTGTTGCTCATCCATCTTCTGTTTCCCCCCAGTAATGTCGTTGTGTTGTCGCTGCTGCTGCCCCGCTTGCTTTCTGCGCGCTTGCGGATCCACAACCAGCTGGAGTCAATTGAAAAAACACGTCATGGTGCACTTTCTAGTCCAATATCTCTCATGTGGCGAGCTTCCCGGTTTCGCCGTCCGTAACCGCAGGGCACGACACAGAACAGGAGGACAGCTAGAACACAGGACAAGACTTGCAGCGCAGCAGCTGTAGTCAAAGGGGGCGCTCGTGGCGGCAGTGTCAAGGCCAGCAGCAAGGCCAGGCGGAATGAGGCAAATGGCCGGTTCCTGCCTCGGCAGAGCCGCCACAGGACCTGGCGCAGGCTGCCGCCCAGCATCGCCCAATTCGAGTGCCTTCTAGGACAGCTCCATGAAGGTCAAGAGGCGAAGCTTCGGCGCAAGTGCTCAGCAATTTTACGTTTTAATGCGCTAGCCAAGCAAGCGCCGACGTCCCAAGCCTACAAACCAAGCAGGCAGGCAGGCCTCCAGGCCAAGCAGGCAGGCCCAGGAGAAGATCGTCAGAGTGATAAATGGAACTCGCTTCTGCCACGTGGACCGCTACAAGGACAGAGTGTCAATAGAGGTGCGCGAGGCCATGAGTTGGAAGCGCCAGTTATTTGAGCGCGCCGTGGCCATCAGCTTGGCAGTGAGATATTCTCAGAGCCCTCAAAGCACGGCAGCGGAGCTGGCCAAGGTTCGATCTGGCCCTGGCCCAGAGCCGTGGTCAAGCACTGGCGAGCACGCGCCTACAGGCAAACTGCCTTCAAGAAAGCTGATCTGGGAGGTGTGCTGAAAGTGGCAACGGCCTTGTTGCAGACACTGGGCTGCAAGCCGTGTGTTGTTTGGGGGGGGGCGGGGCTTTGCTTGCTTGCTTGAAGTTACCTAAGGAAGCAGCACTTCAAGTCCTTTGATGCTTCAGAAGATTTCCTAGAGTGTGCGATGAGCAAGCGCAGTGGCAGCGACTTGCTTCGGCCAGCAACTTTATGTGCGTGTTTTTCTCGCAGGTCATGCAGCCACTGTGGTTCCACTCATTCCCTGCCCAGGCAAATTGGACACTTCGCTGCGCCAGGCGGCGCTCGACATTTGCTGCCCGACCTCGATTTGCAAAGTTGCGGGCACCAGCTTTGTGACGACAACCAGATGTTCCACAGAGGCAGGGCAAAATTGGCCAGCGCAAGGGGCCAATCCCTCAAGATTTGGCGTAGTTTTCTTGGCAGGGTCTGGGACTTTCTCTGAGGCGGCTCTTGTCGAACATCCTTGGTTCTGCGCTGGGCGTCAGGTACCTCGAAGCCAGCCAGACTGAGACGATCCACAACCGCGCTGCGGCACCTTGCCGCTGGATGCTGGGACGTGCTGATGCCAGGCTGGCTGGCTTGTCGTGTTAAATCGTGTGTGTGTGTGTGTGACCGCTGCGGCGCGAGACCGGCAGCGGTGGCAAAAAGCTCCAGAACACGCTGAAGAAGGCAGCGACGCTGCCCTCGAAGAGATGCTCGGCCTTGGTGTGGCAGTTCATGAAGCTTGCAATAGGCATTTGGCACCCACACTGTTTCGCAGCCATTGAATGGTGCGCCCCGCGCGGACTTCCGGGGGGACTTTGCTCATTTTGTGAGCGCAAGCCTCTGCGGACTTTTTGCTTGGTCGACTGTAAAAATAGCTGCTTTTTTGCGAGCAACGAGAAACTAGCTAACGAGGAACTGCCAAGACTAGGGAGCCGGCGACTATACTTCATTGACCAAGCTTCTTTCTGCAAGAAGACCAATGAACGGACAAACAAGTTGACCGCCCAGCTGGCGAGCGTGCTCTGTCGCAGTGGCAAAACAACATTCACTTGCGTTGCGCAGGAAGGCTCTCAAACTTGGCTGCTCCTTGTTTTGAAACTTCCGCTCTCGGAAAAAAAGCCTACTTGCGCGCGTAACGCGAGAATTTGGGAATAGAAGCAGGGTAGACCTGCGCGTGTGTCTTGGAGCGGTGTGTCACATCAAGGGCTCCCTGGGTAAGCTCCCCCTCGTGCTACAGAAGCTGTTGTTAGCAAGTGGCCTGGCTCTTTGGTTTGAAGATGTTCGTAAGGTTTTTTTAGGCCACTTGTTATTTTTCACTTTGCTTTGCTGCTTGAGCTCTGTGCTGTTCGGCTCGGCCAGATTGTCTTGTTGTTAGCCAGTGGCCTGACTCTTTGGTTTCAAGACGTTTGCGGGGCCTTCCAGGCCACTTGTTGTTGTTGACCAGGGTTTCGGAGAGTTGCCAACGAAGGGAGCGCGGAAATGGAGTTGCAAAGGTTTCGCGAAGACATGCCCTCTTTCACAAGAAGGTATACTGATCAATGCAAATTTGGAAAGCCCCACAACCTGCGTCCATAGTTTTTGTTTCTCATACATTTGAGTGGGTTTGGCAAGGGCGGGATTTCTCTTTTTCGGATTTGGCGGTCTATGGAAGTCAGAACGCATTGCAGGCTTGCACCTGCACCTTTCATCCCGAGGACAGGTACGGGAGCAGTGCGAACCACTGCCAGGTGTGTGGTAGCCACTTGGCGAGCTTCTGGCCCCCCCATTCAGGATTTGTCACGCGCGCAAGGCCCTGACACAGCAGCGTTCCATTCCTGAACTGAACCTGGAAGTGCTGCTAGTCAAAGAAAATCAGCGTGCAGGGGTCGCAGTGAGCCGCATTTGCTGCTTTAGATGCAAGAAGGCTTGCCGGCAAACAGTTTGCAGCCAGACATTGGGTCTTTGGTCACGTCGTGTCTCTTTAGTAGCCGCTGCGTCGCTTAGGAAGGCCGACTGACTGAGAACCCAGCAGCCTCCTCACTTCGGCCACCGCGTGGCAAATCCAATTCGGCTCTTGGTTGGGGTGTACAGGCAGGCCGCGAGGGACTGCTGCAGCCCATGCATGGAGTCACCAGAAGCCGCCTGGCCTTTCCAACAGATGTAGCCCCAGTTGTAGAATGGCCAATCATCATCCATTGGAAGCCCCCGCGTTGTCGGAGCACCAACTTGAATCAATCAACTTTGAAGAAGGCTCGTCGGAGATTGACTGTGTTGAGCCTGGCGAGGAAGGCTCAGTCGCGACGCATGACTCAAGATTCAGCGTGTGGCCCACCTACGCTTTTTCAAAATTTCATGCCCGCTGGGAAGATTTTTACATAATATTCGAAAGCACTCAATCAACGATTTGCATGCCGTGGGCGCTGTGAGTTTAGAGCCTGGATGCTGGTGGACGTTCTAACCCAAACGTTGCTCCCAGTTGCAAAATTGTTGCACGCAGAAGGCCTATTATCTATTTGCAGCCCCCTTGGAACATCAACCGTTTGGTTCCCCTGGGCTCACAGAGGCTCTTTGCTCTTATGGGGCTCGTCATGCTCTGTTCTTTCTTCTTTTTTTTTTTCGCAGCTTCGTGCCAAGCTTTACACCATCGTTGGATGCGCTCAGCATGCCCTGTCGTGAGCAAGCAAGAAACACTTTTTGCGCGGCCCATGCCCCATGAGTTCTGGACCTTCCAAGCCCATTCTTTGGAGTTGTAGAATTGTTGCACGTGGAAAGGCCGATGGTCTCCCCGCGATGTTGGCCAACTTGCAACAAGCAGCTAAGCAACTTTGAAGAAGGCTCATGTGGGGTCCCTTCTTGATGCGATGCCGGCGTGTGTGGCATGGCCGACAAACCCTTTCTTATGATATTATGACTGGCTGGCTCAGTTGCGGATTCGAGTTTCGTCCCACGTGATGCGCCATAACAGGCCGTGGAAAACTGATCCCACGTCCATCCGCGCGCCCTTGCTTGGTGATGCCGCTGGGCTTTCAGGTGCCGGAGTGTTGATGCGAGCCAAGAGTCTGAAGATGGCCACTGGACTGGAAGTCTTGAGCAGAAACGCGTTGCTGCCACTGTAAAGAAACGCTCTGAAGATAATTCCATGTATTGAGCGAAGCATTGGCCAGGCAGCTGCTTTGCGTGAAATGTAGACCCCTTCTTCTTGGTTAGTGCGTTTGAGGGCCCGTGCCCGTTTGCGATTACGTAGCTGCTCCTCCCACTCTTCACTGATAGACCTAACTGCCTGGCAACCCTGTCCTTGAGGATGTGCAAGAAGCGCAGGGCTCTTCGGTTGGTTGGCTGCGCATGGCGAGCTTTCCTCGGCTCTGGTTTTTGGCGACTTCGCTTCGTAGTGTTGATACGTTGATACGCGGGGCTGACATGCAGGCGTGCTGTTTCTGATTTAGTGACGCCTGCGTGTAGCCTGATAGTTGGGTACGCCAAGACACGAGCTCGCGCAGGAGTGGATTCGCACAATGCCCTGCGTCTTTCCTGGTGCCTTTGTATCACGCTCTGGCCAGCCTCGCAAAGGTCGTCATGTCGACTGTCAGGCCCCGGGCCCGAGAAGCAGAACTTTAGCTTACACCGCTGCTGCTGCCGCGCGAGCGAAGAGTGCACACCTGCTCCTAGCGCGTAGTACTAGTAAGCAGCGCCGCGCGTGAATTGGCTACTTCTGCTGGTCCTAAGCTTCACTGAGAAAAGGGGGTACCCAACGCAGGCAGCGCTACAAAATGAATGCTTTTGGGCGCTTCAGTGATTGCCCTCTTGCAAGCCTTGCGAGGTCGCCTGTGCGGTGCAAGGGCTTCCAAAACACGCCTCTCAAACAATGCCAGTTCGTTTGCACGGTCTGCTCGCGCACTGGCAAGCCGCTTACCGAGGTGCTTGAAGCCAACTTACCAGCCCGCCCGCCAACTCAGGCAGTAGTGCTGCGCACCCCATGTAAGTCAACAAGCAGCCAGCGCGAAGGCCCCACTGTTCTTTTACCGAAATGCGTGCGCTTTACACAAGCATTTCGCTGCGCTGAGATTCATGACGGTCACGTCGCTATGGCAGCAGGACGGCACGCGTTGTTCGCGTGACCAACAGCTTGCGCAATATGTGCTGCTACGTGCGTCCCACGCATCGCAGAGACAAGTAAGGCCACAACATATTCTACACACCGTAGGTGAGAAGTTACGGAATTCACACTGCTGTTAGGCTATGGACGCCACGCGCACGCAGACGCACAACCAACATGGCCGCAGGCCGGCAGGCCAGCAGGCCAGGGCCAAAGCCAAGGCAAAGGCGAAGGAGGAAGTTCGCGTAGACATGCGTGACAAGGTCTGGCCGTGGGCGCTTTTCAAGGGCTTCGTCGGCTGCTTATCTTAGGCAAGTTTGCCTCAGGGTCAGAGTGAGACAGTCGAAGCCTGGCGGCAAAGGGCCTTGCCAGCCATAGGTAGATGTGGCTGTGCCCTGAGACACCAGGTTTTGATTCGTGGGTCTAAGCATTGAAGCTGAGGGGCAGCGGGAAAAGGCGCAGCGCGTGCACAGCAACATGATAGTTGCGATAGTTCTCCTGGGACTGTATGGGGGCACGAAATGTACAGCCTTGAGCATTCTCATTGACCCCGGCGAAGATAGCTGCGTGGATGGGCCACAGGCTTGGCAGGCTGCCAAGCCCTGAGCTTGCATGCGCAGATATCATTTCACCCTCAAATTCCTTCAAATTTGCCGCTATCTCCCTCAACTTGTTTTTGGTTGAAGCTTCTTCCGGCTGCGCTTCGGAAGCATGTAAGGCGACAAGGGGCGAGGCGAGGTCCTCGTGCCAGAGATGCATCCCTGATGCTGCCTCTGCTTTGCCCTGATGCTGCCTTTGCTTTGCCTAAATGCAAATTTGGCTAAAAATTTTGGCCCCAGCCCAATGACTTACCCAGCTGGTTGAAAAGAATGGAAATGGAACCAACCCCTAGAACAATGGAGGGGGTGGGGCTCGTCCAGTCCACCAGAAACGAAGCGCGGACCCCGACTTTAGGTCATGGTCATGGGCGTCCTGGAGATGGTCCTGGGAGTGCTCCAAGTGGGCACGCTGGTGCCTTTGGCGGGGTTTTGCGAAGCTTTTTCACAATAGGTGCCATAGCCTCTTTTTTTGTTTGTTGGGTTAGTGTGATTCAAAATAGAAAGGATCCACTGGTTTAGATGGGTTTTATTCTATTTTCCAGGGAATCCCATCTATTTAACCAAAAAGACACCTATGTTTTTCACTTGCTGCCAGACTGATCACCTCGCGGTTCCCAGCTTTCTCCGACTTTGTTGCTGCGCAGTGGGAGGGGCCGAAGGCATATGGCAGTGGGTCAAAAGCAATGGTTCCATCTTGGTTGGTAGGTGAATTCACCACACATTTTAGAACCTATTTTAGTGGTTGGATTGGGTCCCGTTCGCTGGGGGTACGGGCTTTGGATTTTGAAAAGCCCATGACCACATCCCACTAGCAGCTTAGCTTTAGGGATCAAGCCACCGAAGTTGGCCAAGTTTGCCCTTTTGCCCTGGGTCTCCTCCATGTCCCTTTCAAACAGCAAACAGTGGGCTGCGTTTGCCAGGCCGAAAAAACCCGGGCTGCTTCGAAGCGTTCCTAGAAGAGGATTTCTCAAGGGTAAAGAATTGGATTGGCAAGTCATTTCATCAAAACACGGGTAGATGAAGGTTAGTATGGCACGATCCCAACCATAAATAGCTGCGGCCGCCTTCTTAGTTCTTTACATGGTCAATTTGTGTTCCGGGTTCTGATTTTGACTCATTTCACTTTGAGAACCAAATGGACAACCATCATTTCCGGGCCCTGCTTTGACAGGTACCGATTTCTTGGATTTCTGAAAATCGTGAGACTAAGCCTTTGGGAACCCGACAGCATCCTGTCGACGAAAGGAGGCGCAATGTTTCTCGCAGGTTTTGGTTGCCCCGCATTTTTAAGCAATGCTCCTTTCAGTCCATATATACACAAGAGATATAATGTACACGAGAGATATGATGTACACACTTCATACAAGCCATTTCTTTGCCCCCTGGGCCGATTTCCGGAAAGAGAATGTGGCACAGGATGAATGGTAGGGGTCCCGGGTCTCCCATCCGCGGGTACTTCCCCTTCCAGGGATCCTTCTGTGACAAAACTCCCAAACGGCTTCCTCACAGAACCAGACTAGTGGAAGAGGTACAAAAACCAAACAAAAGAGAAGAAAGACAAGGCACGATCAATCGTTTCATCGCTTCCCCAAAGACCACCAAGGCTTTGCTGGGGCGGGGCAGGAGGGTTTAGGGCCCCGAGGCTGTTGGGGATGGGCGTATTGTTTCCATCACGCGCTGGAACAGGTGGGATCCCTTTTTCGGAGCCCTGTATGGACTGTCCTCTTTGGGTTTGTTAGGATAGAAACAGACGGGTTCCACCGGGATAATTGAAATTGGCTTGATGCCATCCATTTGCCAGGAAATCAGGACGCGTATGCCTGTGTTTGGCTTTCCCTTGGTTCACAATCACTGAACCAGGGTCCAAAGTAGTTCCGCCTGCCCGAAGCAAAAGAGGAACAAGCTCCCCAGTAGTGCCCTTCCTCACCCCTTTTTTGGTTGGGAGGGTTCCCCTACTAAAATCGATTACCGAAAAAAATGGTACCCTTCCAACTTCTCTACTGGAGGACCTGGTAGAAATAGATGGATTCCACTGTGTCAGATTGGCTTCATCCCATTTACCAGGGCCCTCGATTTTTTCCGAAAGGTCACCCCTGGTTCCAGGGGCCTTTTCATGGTTGTCCTTGGGAAAGATGTTACAGTTTTGCTTATTATGGCTTAGTGGTTGAAATCCAACCACTTGCTAACATGTTAATTATCGCTCCCCTTTCAACGTCAACCAAGTTTTTGTTGGTCGCCCGGAATGGCGGGTTTTCAACGAGGGCGGCAGTTTCGGGCCGCTATATAGGTGAAGCTCATCCCGGTGCCGGTGATGATCGGGTTCTGCAACGGCCTGGCGCTGGTCATCGGGCTCGCACAGTTCTCCAACTTCAAGGCGCGGGGTGTAGTTCCCATGTGTTTGTTTGTTGTTTGTTTGTTTGTTTGTTTGTTTGTTTGTTTGTTTGTTTGTTGTTTGTTTGTTTGTTTGTTTGTTGTTGTTGTTTTTTTCTCCCCTTTTTGGGTTTTGTTTGTTTGGTTTGTTTTGGTGTTTCTCTCTTTTTCTTTTTTTTGGGGGATGTTGTGCCCAAAGTTTTTGTTTGGGGGGGGGGAGATATTTTGTGCCAGAAAATGCTGAAATCTATAGAGTTTATGGTCTGTTTTTTGTCTTGAAGGGAGTCTATTACAACTGTGTTTGTCTCTTTTTCTTGGGAGGGGAGCGGGGGAATTTAAGAACCCGGACTCACTCCCTGAGTTCATGTACTTTATACTTTTGGGGTTTGGTCCATTTGTTTTGTCAATCCACTCAGGCAGTGAGTCCCAGGTCGTGGTGGGGCGGAATGTTGAGCCCGTTCGCCCGCTTGCTGTTATTCATTTATTTTGTTTTATTTTTTGGGGGGTCATTTTGTTATTTTATTTTTTAAGGGGGGGGTCGTGTTTTTTTTTTTTGGGGGGGGGGGTCATGTTTTTTTTTAAAAAAAATATTATTATTAGGGGGGTCAAGTTTTTCTTTTTTTAGGGGGATCATGGAATTCAGTCACATTTTCGGGTTGGACCATTTTGGCAGACTAAAAGTTCAGGAGCTGGCCGATCCACTCAGGAAGCGAGAAGGCGCAGTTCCCCCCACCTTTCTGTGTCTTTTGTTTTTGGTGGGGGGAAATTTGGTGCCTGAGAGGTGTCCACCTTTTGACCAAGAGTTTGTTGGTTTTTTCATGGTGCATGTTTAATGAGAGGGATATGTTCATGTCCTGTTGGCAAGTCAGAATGTGCGGCAAAGAAGCCATGGCCTCTTTATACCAAGGCTTCAACCGCTGGTTTCTTGTTAAACCACAATTGTTTAAACACACCTCCATTTGGTTTCACTTTGTTTTTGGGGGCATGTACTTTTATCATAGCATGTTTCATGCCGAAGCCCAACGCGGCTTTTGGCTCAAGCTTTTCAATCCGGCAACTAGCCCTTGCAATTTCGTCACCGCGCACTGCGGCACGTCACGCTCATCTTCGGCAAACAGTGCCGCTGCTGAGCGCTCGTGGTGGTGTTTCCGGTGGAGGTTGGTCGGGGGTTCTGGTTGGGGTTGGTGCGCATTTGGTTTGCTTTGCTTGCTTCGCTGCTTTGTTTGCCTGCTTGGGTTGCTGCTTTGTGCTTGCTTTCGGTTGTCTCTGCCCTTGCTGGGTTCATTCATCTTTTGGTTAAAGGCACCCTGTTTTGGTTCGTTGTTTGTGCCAGCCGGGGGCACCGCTTTGCCCTTGGGACTGGGGGACTTAAACAATCTCTTCTTGTTGGTGGGATTGGGCCTGTTTATTCTCTCCCGAAACTCTGTTTCAAACCCTTTCGCAGGTTATCAGCCGTAGGATTCGTCCTCGGTTGGCACCGCGAACCCCTTTCTAACAACCCTGCAGGCATCGTAGGGTAGTGTAAATAGTATGGCGGGAATCACTGAGGATGGACCTCATGTGGTGACCGATGAATGGGTTCTCGGCCAGGCCGGAATCTTGGACGTTGTGAATGACGACCAAGTGCCCGGACAGCCGATGTTTTCCGGTCCTGACTTTTTGTCGGACCACTCTTTTTCAGAAGCAATGCCTTCAGGAAGATCCAGTGCTACTCGCACTGATGAGCTATCGTCTAATGCCTCAAGAGCTAATCGCTCTCAGGGTCATGGGGCTAATCGTCCTGACCATGATGATTCCGTCTCAGGACGTGATGATGACGAGCCCGGTATTGCACCTGGAGCTCAATCCTCATCTTTCCCGGAGCTGATGAATATTGGTCAGTCCGAGTTTCGTGACTCTCGAAGTGGCAGTAGACCTGTGCCAACCAGCAGTATAGTTTTTCAAGCGCTCGGTAATCCCGAACCTGGTACATCCAGTGGAGTTGCATTTGATGTTCATCTGCCGACCGAATCCGGTGGGCTCGATTGGAGAGCCTCATGGCCCAACGACGGAAACATTTTTGGTATGGATTTTGCCGCATGGATGCCAGGGCCACCCGCCCCGTCATCTTTCCCGCATTTCCAAAGCCCAAAACGAGCTGCTGGAAGTGATGAATCCATGCTACCTTTGTCGATTGAGAATCTCAATCCTGATGTGGCCAGCCGTAACGTCAGGCCAAGACCGTCGGTAAACCCGACCATGAGGAACATGTCTCCTCCCCCGGGACTTTCAGGATTTGAGAGCCCTAGGGAGCGTAATATCGTAGATAGATTGGATTTGCATCCCAGTCCAACTCCAAGCAAACGATCAAGGTCGAATTCGACTGGATCGCATAGGGCAAGGGGGATGGATCGGGAAACTGCCCACAGGGGTAACCCCAGTGCGCGGGACTCCGGACGCGGACGCGGTCGATCAGGTGATCCAGCGTCGATCATTGGTAGAGACCCGCTAAACGCGGACACACTCGTTAACGTGCTTGATGGGATCGAAGCATTCCAGGAGGAATTTAGTAGGTCAAGTGGCTTGAATGCCCAAGGTGTTCGCCCTACGCCCAACGCGGCTTCCTTTTTCGCTCTGGACAATATGGACGGAGCTAATGTTCCAATAGAATCTGAGTCCATGATGGCATCGAGTTCTAGTCGCAATCATACCATCAGTAATGCAACTGATATTGAATCGATGTCTGAGTCTAGAGTGTCCAATGCGACCGACTTGAATGACATTGTTATTGCTGACTCGAGACCTGATGTTCCTATGCGAACGGATAGGCCTGTTATTCCTAAACTATCCGTGCCAAAGGCCTGGGCATGACACAACCCTCTGCGGTTCGTGATGCTAGGAGATCTGCTCCGTATCAGAGTCAATCTCCTAATCGGAGTGAGTTCCCACGGCCATCAACGGCCGTCCAGGATGTTTTCAGAACTCCTCCGAGATCTAATCCAATCATGGTTGATTTGTCCACTCCTCGAGATCGCGGATCAGGATTTGGTCCTGCGAGTGAGGAGCAACCCAACGAGGTTGCTGATCTTGTAACAGCCCTTGAAAGAGGGAGAGTGGATTCTTCGGTAAGTGCGATCATTCATCGCCTGGTTGCTAAGGTCGAAGACCTTGGGCGTAGGAATGATAGAAGTGATCAATGCATCAAGCAGCTCTCCACTGAGGTCAACTCGTGGAGGGCCAAATACGATCAATGCGTCCATGTGAGTAGCACGTGTACACAGGCTGCGAACGCGGCCATGCAGCTGTCACAAGGGACTAAGGACATCGTGACCGAGCTTGGCCAACGCGTCAAGATCGTTGCCGATCGCATGATAAGCATAGGCGATGCCCTAAACGAGCGAGCCAGCTATGATGATGTTGCTCGCTCCATCACCCAGGTTCAAACTGTTTTTGAATCTCTTTCTGATCGAGTAACCGGGCTTATAGCTCGTGTTGATATGATCGAGAGATCTCTAGTGGAGAGCCAATCCAACCATCCTGCGATTGGTGGAGTAAACCTCAAAATCGAGGACCTGTCCACTAGGGTATGTCAGATTGATAGGATGATGCAAGATGTCGAACAACGCTGGACCAATAATAGGGACGGCATAAAGTGGGTTAAAGACCAACTTTATGAGACACAAGCCAACCTTGAGATAAAGTCAAGGGACTGCAAATCCTACACGGACAAGCAAAATACTCATAACATGGCCGTTTCGACTACGCTCAACAGTAAGCTCGAGCAAATGCTCGAGGTGCTGGGTAATACGGCCCAGAGAATTAACTCCCTCGAGTCAAGGCACTCGAGCCAGGCCTCAAGTAGTGGATTGAACGATCACACAGGAGGAAGGCGTGCCGCGTCCCGTACTCCGGATAAGCGGCCACCTCCACCTGGCCCTCCTGATGATGATCCTCCACCACCTCCTCCTCCAGATTGGCAAAGCCCAGGAGGAGGGGGGAAGAAGAGTGCTGCCGGTGGGAACCCTGGCAACCCTGGTAAACCCAGATGTAAATATGTAGGTGATGGATATAATCATCTCATGGCTGAGTTTCACTGCAAGGGATGCAGAGGTGATATTTGTGAGTATTGTTTCTCGTTTAAAGAGAACCTGTGTGAAGAGTGTTCCCGTAACGGGCCCCGATGCGGAGTCTGTAGGGAGAGCTCGTTCCTGACCAAGGGAATTGAGTGTCAGTTTTGTAAGACCTACTACTGCACCAGACATTCTGCTGGGCAGGATGACTACAGGAGATTTGGATTTGTCCAGGGTCCCTGTTGTCTTGCGTGCCTTAGGGACGAAACTAGGAGAAGAAGGGATCCCGATGGTAACCGTGTCAGGAATAGGTCGCCTGGGGGCGTACCTGAGACGAACCCGACGCGGTCGTTCTCGCCGCCTCTGCGGCCACCCGTTGACAGATTCCGTGACACCCCAACTGGGGGTCAACCCAACGCGGCTGACCTTCAGAGTCCTCCGAAGGCTACGCAACCCGTGCCCCTGGATAAACGTGAAACCGGATATTATCCAGGATTTGATCCCAACGGTACAAGGCCAAAGGATCCTTCAGGCCTTGAGCCGCCGACCATGCGTGGCCCCGATCCTCCTGACAAGAAATGTCGGATGTGTGATCGGGATATTCCTGACCCCAGCAAAATTGAGGAATGTAAGATATGCATGAAAAGGGCATGTGAGATTTGCATTCCGAAGGCTACTCGCCTTTGTCCTGTATGTGCATTGTCAATCGGTAGTTCTCAGGTTCCACAGCATCTTTTCGGAACTGGTGGCGGCGGGTACAGTAGCCACCATGATCCGAACTGTACAGCTGCGACTAAGTGCATTCCCATAGACCTCCCGCCAGAGCCCGACGCGGCTGGGCTGAGGGTATGGATAGCCAATATGAAGGAAGCTGTTAGCAATGCCTACAGCTATGATGGACTTTACGTCATCAATTGGCTAACTGAAGTCGAGAAGGCAAAGACCTTTGATGAGCTGGATGGGGAATGTAAATACCACATCCTTGAAGCCAGGTTCAATGCAGCCATTCGGAAGTGCATCAAGACTGTTGCAATTATCGATAAGATTAATCGTCTCACCGAAGCCGCTCAACGCTCCAACAATCGCATCAAGAGTAGGCAGATCCTGTGGCTCTTATACGACCACTTAAGGACTGCAAATATCGGAGAGCAATCATTCAGGATAATCGAGCTCTCAAACTTGCGATGCAGTGTTT